AACTGACTGATTTGTCTAATTTCAGAACTTTTAATAGCTGTGATGCATTCTGTTTTAAAACACAAACGTAGCACCGCCTTGCTATTTCTTAAGTTGTGATGCGACAACATGACTCTTCTCTAGGGGATTTTAATGAAGCTCTGGAGTTTTGATAGAGCAGAAATCATAGCAAGCACATGCCTAGAGCCAGTGGTGTCATGGTTTTGTGCAAGCACTTCTCTTTTTTAGTGTAGCCTCATTGTTTGAGCGAGACACACAGAGAACAGTGCGCCACAGTTTTCAGACTGAGATTTTTCAGGTTACTTTTCCTCCACTAATTTGTTGCAGATTTGCATTTTAGCTCCCTGTGTTTTGATTAAACCAAAAGTACCACAATAATAATATTAATAAAAACCTTTTTGGACATTGATAACCTTTAACACAGTTCTGCCATTTTTTCCCCAACTAATGTCTTCAATTTCTTCATTAGTGAAATGTCATTACGGCATTGCACATGCTCGGCTGAGTCTGAGCCGTGTTGTGTTTGCTGCAGGCCGAAATGCAGCAGCAGTGAATCCCAGTCTAACCCAAGAATTCGCTCCGAATTCTTTCATTTGACAAAAAATATGCGCTTGAATTGCGTGAACCTTGCTAGCAATTGAAGGAGTCCCACTTCCTCTTCCCGTCACATGAAGATGACCCAGCAGAACATTAGTCACGATGAGTGTGTCTGTGAGACGTTATTGCACACGATGGAAATAACGACCCTCATCGTCGTCTTCTAATAGCTGTCTCAGCTGTTTCTAAAGGAGAAAATCTCGGGTGTGACAAAATGCCGTCTCAGCTTTCACAGATCCGTTTGTTTTCCTGCGTTCTCCATGTCAGTTTGACTGAAGACAATGTGTAAGACTGGGCCTAAATATAAACGTGTGGCAGGCAGGGGGATTCATCTTCATGCAGTGTAAATAAGATGAATAATTTTCGCAGTGGAGGTGTTACATCTGAAGTGTTGAGTTGAACGGAGGGAGGGTTGATTTATTGCACTCCAGCTGAAAACTTCAGTTTTAGAAGCTCAACTTGATTTCTGCTAATGCTTTGTAGAATACAATCACTCACATGTGCATAACAGAAACAACGCCTTCCATTTGTTGGAGAAGTGCTTTTCAGTCGTTTCTGTTAAAAAATTTCACAGTGATTCAATTTGGTAAGCAACCAGTATCCGTCAAACTTGTCCGATCTGATATTGTTGCAGTCTAGATCCGTGGTTCCCAAACTTTTTATCTTCTGACCCACAAAATATCCATGGCAAAAACTTGTGACCCCAAATATTACTGGTCTGAATACACGAACTTTGTTAATAAACCTAAAAACACAGGCTTTTTGACAATCCAAACAGCTTGTACACAAATATAAATTCTTATTTATGCTTATTTTGTGTTTTGTAATAATTATAGGGAAAATATTACATCAGCAATTATTTTATTACCCTTTAAATTGATTTCTGGAGATTATCCAAGGTGCTTCATGACCCATAATTGGGTTCCAAGCCCAACCACTGCACTTTGGATCCCAAACTTTTCAGCTCTTGACCCACAGAATAGTACAAAACAGTGGCAGAGACCTTTACCCCCAACTATTTATCAGGTCAACAAAACATGGGCATAGTAACAATATTTTTATATTACATTTAAAT